CCTCAGTCTCCTTCTCCCTCTCCCTCAGTCTCCTTCCCCCCCCTCCCCCATCTCTCCCTCAGTCTCCTTCTCCCTCCTCTCTCCCTCAGTCTCCTACCTTGTAGCGTGGCCGAGCGCCGCGGAGCTCAGTTTCCTGTACCCGGCGGACAGGAAGTGCTCTCTCTGTGAGCACTTCATTTCCGTCCGCCCGGGTACAGGAAACCGAGGCACGCTCGGCCACGCTACACAGAGTGTCTGGCAGGAGGGAGCGCTCTGCGCTCACCTCCTGCCGGTCACTCCGGCTTTGTGCTCGCCGGGCCGGTGCGCCCTAAGGCGGCCACTTGTGCCGCCTTATGGATGCGCCGGCGGAGCGCACGGCGACCTATGGCCACGTGCCCACAGAAGGGGCGCGGCGTGCCACCTGTGGCACGCGTGCCATAGGTTCGCCACCACTGGAATAGAGGGTGTACTTTCTTTTTCCCATGACTGTATGTATATGTAGATATATAGTGAATATACATTATGTTGTATTTCTACACTCTATTTACATCCATATATCTTTATCTTTTGATAATACTATGAGACCCAGCACCATTTTTCTGTTTGTCTTCTAATTTTGTCGATCTATCCCACTATTCTGTATTTTTTTCTCTGACACCTGTCTCATCTCTTTTATATTCAGAGAGACAAACGCTGGAGTATATCTTCAGGAGGAGGAATGGAGAGAACTTCAGCCAGTGTAAGTATTACCTATATGGAGCTATTTCAAACAGCTCCATAGCCTACCAGCTGAAGTGGTAGAGGTTAACACAGTAAAGGAGTTTAAGCATGCATGGGATAGGCATAAGGCTATTCTAACTATAAGATAAGGCCAGGGACTAATGAAAGTATTTAGAAAATTGGGCAGACTAGATGGGACGAATGGTTCTTATCTGCCATCACATTCTATGTTTCTATGTTACATGTTTATAGACAAAACCCATCACAATGAAAGAGAAGCCTATTAACCCTTTAAGGACACATGACAGAAATATTCCGTCATGATTCCCTTTTATTCCAGAAGTTGTGTCCTTAAGGGGTTAACTAACAGATGTATTCTACTGAGGGTCACGGAACAGTTGTCATCAGTAGGACTAGAAAAGATGCAGAAATGTTTGGGATTACAATTGCAGTTAATTGATTCAAATTTGTCTCAATTTTTATTTCATTTTTAGTATTAAGCTATGAATAGTACCATCTGGAATCAATCTTCTGGGAAATATTCGTATACCATTTATATTACACCTAGTAAATTGCATCTCAGACTACATTTAGTATAGAAAATCTCTTTAAACCAGAGAATAGACTGTCATATTTTTTCTTTACAGAATGTTTTAACCTGGAGAGCAATGGCTCTGTGCATGAGTGGATAGTCTCTGGAAGATAATAAAATAACAATAAAACAGATATTAGATTAATTAAAACATAAGAGCAATTAGAGAGGGCCCAAAACACTTCACATTGAGGAAATACATTCATTTTTATCTTATTCTCATGTTTCCATAATACAAAACATTGGAAATGAGTGATCTTTATTTATACAACAGACTTTTAGATATGGATTTAACTGCAGCCCATACTGGTTAATGTATTAATTATTGACCACAAAGGCATTTTCATTACCCACTGGCATCTGCCAATTTGATGAATTTATGGTAAATATTCATCTGGAGATTAATCTGCTATAAACTCATGTAAAGTCATCAGTTTAAATGTACATTGGTTTATTTATTGAATAATATTGTCCCTGACAGATCAAGCCGTTTAGGGGTTAACATGTAAAGTATCAATAGATAAAAATATTAGGTCAGTCAATCAATGCCCTGTGGTGGTAAGTTATAAAGTCATCATTGTTAGATTCATTCACTGATGTCTTGACTAGTGGAGTCCCCCAGTTTGTTGTGTTTATGTTATTAGTGTCTTGATGTTTGCCTGTTGTTGTTGTTGTTTTATTTTTTTATCCACTTGACATCCAAACTACTAAATTTAAATTTGCGCTGGTAGATGTTTCAGTGATAAAAGTTGATTAATATACCATTAATTTAGTGACTGTCTCAGATTATCCATCCATTAGTCACTGCCGAAACACATTTTTTAAAGTTGTCATTTCCTTGTATTTGCTGCTTGACATCCATCATGGGTACATCATCTGTTGATACCTTCATCTATGTAGATAAGTTCATACACATTTTTTGCACAGCACTTTCTTGAATAAATTAAGAAATTATTCATTTGTATATGTATCTTCACTTTGTTTTTCTGTTTTTCTCTGATTTTGGCCTTTCAGGAGAAGACAAGTCCAGCAGGCCCCCATCAGAAAGTCTGGGATAGCTACAGAGCACGCTCCTCACAAATCCATGACCGTTTGGGTCTACGCTGTGTAGATTGGGATCAACCACCACGTATATCTATGGATATGTCAGATGGGGACTATCAGACTGAGGTATAAGGCAACGTCTCCCTTGTAAACATGAATTTCCTTAGCTGTTGTCCATCTGTGAGAGACACACCAGATGAACAGGCACACAGTATGCTGGTCTCAGTTACTCAAAATTACATGTGGCTTGAGGGGTGTGACGCACACTGGAAATGCAAATGAATATCAGCCACGTAAAAACCATCAGAGCTAGCATTTTAAGACAACAAGCAAGGTTTATGAGATGTCCAAAGGCAGAGTGGTGTTCAGCTGTTGGATATTGTATCTCACTGGAAAGGCAGTTCTCTGATTTTGTGGATTTGTAAGATCACAGATCACTTTTCCAGTATCGGGGAGTCTGGTGGCAACAAGCTGCTAATTATTGCTACTTACAGACACACAAACACACATACATGTTCCTGTCACAATATCCTCTGTCCTTTTTCTCGGACATTGCTTGTCAAGTGACCACTTCCTTCCAGTTTAATGGCCTCCCCCTCTCTCCTGCCCCTGCCATTTTGATGTAGGGAAGAAGAGCCTTGCCTTCGCCTTCATGGACTGCTAAACAAGGTCAGCCAGACTGAACACTAGCTGCCTCCTTCCATTGCTCACTGAGGGTTTTGGGTAATGGGGCAGTGGGAAAGGGGGTCAGGCAGCACTGGGTTTTAAAAACGCCTAGAATTTGTTTAAAAAGGAGAAAAAAATAAAAAAAATCTTTTGAAACATAAACAGAGGTAAGTTGTTTTTCTCATTATTTCATTGGAATGCATGATATAAATGCCCATCTGATGCCAAATGCACCATCTACGTTTGCACCTAGTTATTGTGGCTTTAATGTTTTTCTATCTGTGCATCAATGCACAGAATTGAGAGTAATGTTTTTGAACACAAATAATGTATGTAGAATCTTGTCTTTCTTGGCATTGGATTTCCAAAAATGCTGGTTATGGACTGGGAAAGGGAAAACTTTCAGTGGAAACAAATAAAAATATTTATATTAGGTTAACAAATTGTATCCACCAACTACGTAGTACACGCATCTGCTTAAGGTATACCTACATACTGATAAATATGTAAAAATTACTTTGTGTTTAACAACGCCTCTAATGATCCACTCAATAGATTGGTATTTGTGCCAGATTTTACTTAGGATATACGTTGGTAAATAATCTCATAATAAGGCATTCTGGTATACGCAATTGACTTTCTTGTATTGGGTTACAGAAACGATATCTACTCAACAGCGAATTAAAGGCAGAGTTTGCAAAGTTTAGATATGAATTGCCAAATTTGGCCATATAACGATAGGATAATTTTTTTCAGCTCTGGTATTTGATAGATTTTTTATATTAATTTATCAATGCACCACAGTCTAATGTTTTGAGAGTTAACTTCTAAATAGATCAAAGGTGGTTAAGTCTGAATTCATCTTTGGGTGTAGTGACTCTACTGGGAATCAGAGAAGATAACATGGAAATTTGAAATGGAGGTTTAGCTTTGGTGATCAAATAACTGAGATTAAACATTGGAGCACATGTTAAATAATGCCACCAGATATGCCATAGACCAGAAGTCACTGGTCTTAAAATATGTTCTGGATGACTGTCCCATTTATTTTGCATACCTATAACTGAGTATTAACTTCCTTATATTTTATTTGAAAGCTACTGTTGATACGTATCATTTCGTTAAAAAAAAAATAATAATATCCACTACTCTAGCACATTCATCTCTTGATATAACTTCAGATTTCTTAACTTCCATGCTTGACAGCAATTTATATAATTTTTATAAACTATGTTATTTAACGTGACAGGTCTTTCATTGGTAACTTAGGTGGAAATATAAACCTATGTTTAAATGTAACTAATAAAGTGTTTTAAATTATTAAAATTACTTTTTTATATATTTTTTTTTAAATTGCTCATATATAAGGAAAGTCATCTTTTATTATCCTTAATTTTGCTTTCATAACCTACACTGAACAAAATTATAAACGCAACACTTTTGTTTTGCCTCCATTTTTCATGAGCTGAACTCAAAGATCTAAGACTTTTTCTATGTACACAAACGGCCTATTTCTCTCAAATATTGTTCACAGATCTGTCTAAATCTGTGTTAGTTAGCACTTCTCTTTTGCCGAGATAATCCATCCACCTCACAGGTGTGGCATATCAAGATGCTGATTAGACAGCATGATTATTGCGCAGGTGTGCCTTAGGCTGGCCACAATAAAAGACCACTCTAAAATGTGCAGTTTTATCACACAGCACAATGCCACAGATGTCGAAAGTTTTGAGGGAGCGTGCAATTGGCTTGCTGACTGCAGGAACATCCACCAGAGCTGTTGCCTGTAAATTGAATGTTCATTTCTCTACCATAAGCCATCTCCAAAGGCGTTTCAGAGAATTTTGCAGTATTTCCAACCGGCCTCACAACCGCAGACCATGTGTAACCACACCAACCCCGGACCTCCACATCCAGCATCTTCACCTCCAAGATCGTCAGACCAGCCACCTAGATAGCTGCTGCAACAATCAGTTTGCATAACCAAAGAATTTCAGAAACCATCTCAGGGAAGCTCATCTGCATGCTCGTCATCCTCATCGGGGTCTCGACGTGACTGCAGTTAATCGTCCTAACCGACTTAAGTGGGCAAATGCTCACATTCATTGGCATCTGGCTCTTCAGAGAGATGTTCTCTTCACGGATGAATTCCGGTTTTCACTTTACAAGGCAGATGGCAGACAGCGTGTATGGCGTTGTGTGGGTGAGCGGTTTGATGATGTCAACATTGTTGATCGAGTGGCCCATGGTGGCCGGTGGGGTTATGGTATGGGCAGGCGTATGTTATGGACAACGAATACAGGTGCATTTTATTGATGACATTTTGAATGCACAGAGATACCGTGACGAGATTCTGAGGCCTATTGTTGAGCCATTCATCCACGACCATCACCTCATGTTACAACATGATAATGCATGGCCCCGTGTTGAAAGGATCTGTACACAGTTCCTGGAAGCTGAAAACATTCCAGTTCTTGCATGGCCAGCATACTCACCGGACATGTCACCCATTGAGCATGTTTGGGATGCTCTGGATCGGCGTATATTCCACAGACCACAATCAACAACCTGATCAACTCTATGCGAAAGAGAGGTGTTGCACTGCGTGAGGCAAATGGTGGTCACACCAGAAACTGACTGGTTTTTGGACGACCCTGGTCCCCCCACCCCCACCCTAATACAGTAAAACTGTATTGTGGCAAGCCTAAGGCACACCTGTGCAATAATCATGCTGTCTTTTCAGCATTTTGATATCCACACCCGTGAGGTGGATGGATTATCTCAGCAAAGGAGAAGTGCTCACTAAAACAGATTTGGACAGATTTGTGAACAATATTTGAGAGAAACAGGCCTTTTGTGTATATAGAAAAGGTCTTAGATCTTTGAGTTCTGCTCATGAAAAATGGGGGGAAAAACAAAATTGTTGCGTTTAGAATTTTGTTCAGTGTATTTTACAAAGCTTGCAAAATGAGTAGTCACACATTAATGTATATAATGCATTTTATTTTATATTAGTATATATTTTTTTAGTTATTTGATATAACAGGCTAGTCTCCTCTTGTTTGGTACACTAAAGTGTACTCCAGTAAACAATACCACAAACAACTATAATCAGGCACTGTAGGGTTCAGGAGGAAATAGGTAAGGATTTGTTTTGTTTTTTGTGATATCACAGCAAATTGCAAGTTAACGTGAGGCTAAGTTACCTTAAAACTGTTAACTTTGAAGAATAGACACTTTCCAGTCCCCTAATTTGTCAATTTAACAATATACCTCCATATACAATCTAAGCAGTGGCTTTGCTTTGCTTTCCAGGGACCACCTACTTTGCACATCCTTACATATCAGTGTTAATGTCTCCTAATGAAAAATAGTCACATAGTCGGCAATGACCTGTCCAACTATAGCTCCCTTTTTTCATAGCTCTGAATCCTGGCAGCCTCTCTGATTGAACAATGCCCGCTTCTGCCAATTAAACCTCTTTTGAAAGAAAGACACTGTCACTTAGCAAGTAACCTTTCAGAAGTCAGTTCCAGGCATTGAAATTATTATCTTGCTTCCTTAGTTGGTTTTATCCTACCTGTCTTAAGCACCCTCTTTAGAGTTCTACGTTTAGAAACTGCTGCTGTTTCCTTATCCTCTATATTTCTTTTTAGTCTCTTTCTGGAAATCTGTTAAACATTAGGCCGTTAGGATATTGTGTATATATTTGTCAAAGTTACACAACAAATTTTATTTTAGACTTCCTGGTGACCCAATCCAAGATTTTGGATTATGCAAGCACACACCACATGTATATATATATATACACATATATATACACACACACACACACACACATACACTGCTGTGTGAGGGTGCTGTTAGTGTGCTATGTGGGTGAGGGTGTTTGTGTGTGTGTGTGTGTGCTTGTGAGGGTGCTGTTAATGTTCTGTGTGTGAGGGTGCTGTTTGTGTGTGAGGGTCCTGTTTGTGTGCTGTGCGTGAGGGTACTGGTAGTGTGCTGTGTGTGTGTTTGTTAGGGTCCTGTTAGTGTGCTGTGTGAAGGTGCTGTGTGTGTGCTGTGCTGTGTGAGGGTGCTGTTTGTGGGTGCTGTGTGTTTGTGAGTGTACTGTTAGTGCGCTGTGTGTGTATGAGGGTGCTGTTTGTGTTCTGTTTGTGAGGGTGCTGTTAGTGTGCTGTGTGTTTGTGAGGGTGCTGTTAGTGTACTGTGTGTGTGAGGGTGCTGTGTTTGTGTGGGTGCTGTGTGTGTGAGGGTGCTGTGTGTGTGAGGGTGCTGTGAGGGTGCTGTTTGTGTGCTGGGTGTGTGGGTGCTGTGTGTTTGTGAGGGTGCTGTTAGTGTACTGTGTGTGTGCTGTGTGTGTGTGCTGTGTGTTTGAGGGTGCTGTGTGTGTGTGTGTGTGTGTGTGTGTATGTGTGTGTGTGAGGGTGCTGTGTGTGTGTGTGTGAGGGTGCTGTGTGTTTGGGGGTGCTGTATGTGTGTGGGTGCTGTGTGGGTGAGGATGTTGTGTGGGTGCTGTTTCTTTGCTGTATGTGTGTGGGTGCTGTATGTGTGTGGGTGCTGTGTGTGCTGTTTGTGTGCTGTATGTGTGTGGGTGCTGTGTGTGTGTGCTGTATGTGTGTGAGTGCTGTATGTGTGTGTGTGGGTGCTGTATGTGTGTGGGTGCTGTATGTGCTGTTTGTGTGTTGTGTGTGTGTGGGTGCTGTGTGTGCTGTTTGTGTGTTGTGTGTGTGTGGGTGGGTGCTGTGTGTGTGTTGGTGCTGTGTGTGTCTGCTGTATGTTTGGGTGATTTGTGGGGGTGGAGGTGGGGGCAGATTAGTTAATAAATATCCCCCCTTCTTACCTTATGTAGGGAGGGGGGACCGTGCTGCTGCCTTCCCTGGTGGTCCAGTGGAGGTGGGGGCAGATTACTTAATATCCCCCCTCCCTTCTTACCTTATGTAGGGAGGGGGGATCGTTTCTGCCTTCCCTGGTGGTCCAGTGGAGAGTGAACTCTAGCCTGCGTGGCTAGAGTTCACTTTCGCGAGATCTGAGCGTTGTCGCGAGAGGAACCCGGCGGAGCTGCTGGCTAGAACTCCCCGGGTCCTCTCCTGCCTCCCTCCCTGCATGTAGGTCGGTGAAGGAGATCTTTGATCTCCCCACTGGCCCACGGAGGCTTAGAGCAATGCCGGCGCTCGGGTAGTCTGAGATCTCCCCTGCCGGTCTCACTCCAGAGGCCCAGGCACACCCGGCACACCCCGTGCGCACGCCTATGCTCAGAGTCCATGCTGAGTACCCTGTCAGTAATGCTCAGAGTCATTTAGAAGAGTTGGGACCATGAGGGAGCACTTCAAAGGCACTTTATATGCACCTGTCTAAGGTACAGACTACACAGTTCTTTGCTATTGTGAGGGACGCAGGGCAGATTAGGGAAATCTTGAGCTTTCCCTAAGTGTCCCCTCAGATGTTTTTTTTGCCTTACAGTAGCACAGGCCTTGCATGTTTATAATCATATCACTGCTGTGTTCTGTTTTAACACAAACACAGTTTAAAAATAAGATGTAATTGTTTATCATTTGAAGAATTTCTTTAAAGGAGCACTAAAGTGTAAGGAATATAAAGCTCTATTACAAACCCTAATATGTCCATATCCCTAGCTCTACATAGGTTCCCCTCCGACACGTCATAATTAAATGTTTTATTCACCGCTTTCCTGAAACGCTGTACACTTCCCCACTTCCCATGACGCCATGCCTCTACTGCCGATATCCAATCCAATGCTCCTCAAAGAGACACGTGCACATTCAGACTTTCCATAAGGAAGCATTGAGTAAATGCTTATCTATGACAACTTACACGTTTTACTCAGTGATACTGGCAGCAACTAGAGGTGGACTTAACCTAAACAACTGCAGTCTTTTACTTGCAGTGTTAAAAGGACAGAGCAATCCATTGAGGTAAAGTGGTGACTATAGTGTCCTTTTAAGGAAAATAAAAAACGACAATATCTAGAATATATTGTTTGCATACGTATTCAAACGCTTTGCTATAGAGGATTTAGGTCAGGTTTAGTCAACCTTTTTATACCTACCGCCCACTAATACATCTTTCTTGATGGAAAAATGTCATTACCGCCCACCAGTTTTCAGGGGGGGGGGGGGTTAGCGCAAGTGCGGACTATTTTTTAGAACGGTGGATGTTTAAAAAATACATGTACTTAAATGTATCTTTTTATTTCTACTTTATGCATGTTTATAATGTTTTTAGCTTTATAAAGTTTAATGAGAAAACAATAAAGTAAATTGAAATTACCTTTAGCTAGTGATTAATTCTCTTTATTCTCTCCTTCCTTTACTTCTTTTCCTTCTTTCTTTTATTTTACAAGCAAAAAAACTTAGCTTGCCAAAACATGAGCTACTCTACACACTATGCTTCTGCCTGTCCCTGCTTTCTCACCCGTGCATCAGCTCCCCTCCTCAATTTTCCCCTCTTTTTTCTCTCCTTTTCCTTTATTCTTTTATTTTACCTCATAGCAATGCTCAGCAGGAAGGCTGAGCTAGGTAGCCCACTTATTATTATTAGCCAAAAACAATTCTCTCCTTCCTATATTTTTTATTTTCCCTTTTTCTCCTATTTTACAAATACTCTGCTCCTTCTTTCTCCTATTCTACAAGTACCCTGCTCCTTCTTTCTTGTATTCTACAAGTACCCTACTCCTTCTTTCTCCTATTCTACAAATACTCTGCTCCTTCTTTCTCCTATTCTACAAGTACCCTGCTCCTTCTTTCTTGTATTCTACAAGTACCCTACTCCTTCTTTCTCCTATTCTACAAATACTCTGCTCCTTCTTTCTCCTATTCTACAAGTACCCTGCTCCTTCTTTCTCCTATTCTACAAGTACCCTGCTCCTTCTTTCTCGTATTCTACAAGTACCCTGCTCCTTCTTTCTCCTATTCTACAAGTATCCTGCTCCTTCTTTCTCCTATTCTACAAGTACCCTGCTCCTTCTTTCTCCTATTCTACAAGTACCCTGCTCCTTCTTTCTCCTATTCTACAAATACTCTGCTCCTTCTTTCTCATATTCTACAAATACTCTGCTCCTTCTTTCTCCTATTCTACAAATACTCTGCTCCTTCGTTCTCCTATTCTACAAGTACTCTGATCCTTCAATCTCCTATTCTACAGGTACTCTGCTCCTTAGTTCTCCTTTTTTACAAGTACTATATTGGCACAATTGCCACATCATGTTGGGAAACATAAAGAAACTCATAATAAAACAATAACATATTTATAAAGGGGTGGGGAAGACAATGACAAACAAGATTTATGTCCCCTGTCTGCAGAACCATAATATGCACATCTTCCTGGATATGCAAATTAACAAGCCTTGCTATTCAGGTAGTGCATATAACATAGTTACATAGGCTGAGACAAATGCGTCCATCAAGTTCAACCATTCTCACATCTGTGTTTTACTGTTGATCTAAAAGAAGGCAAAAATCTAAAAGAAGGCAAAAATCCCAGTTTAAAGCACTTCCAATTATGCAACAAACTAGCAGAAAATTCCTTCTTGACCAAAAATAGCAGTCAGATTTATCCCCTGAGTGCTCTCTGCCCAGCTCCGTCGCACACCGCACTGATGCCGGAGCCTGAATACTGATGCCGGAGCCAAGCAGATGCTTGTAAAGTAATTTACCTTTTTGTCAATAGTCGCAAGCAAAATGCCAGCACAGCAAGAATGGTTCAAGAGCTAAAGAGGTTAAGGTCCTTCAGTGGTCTATCAAGGTTATCATCATCCTAATGAGAATCGAAGGCACTATTTAAATTTGTGTTGCCTAAATTCTTGTTCTTAAAAAAGTAAATAAAAATGGTGCACTAAATGTACAAATTCTAAAATATATAAACCTCTGTCAATTAATAGGGGGATTATATTGTTAATTCCTCCCGTGACTTTCCAAAATAGCATCCATACATAGCATGCAATATAGAATAACAATATACACTAAAGCGTTACCGTGTATACAAATGATTAAAAATGTGTTGAAGGTGATCACAGCAATGTTACATAGTAAAAGCACCCCAAATACTTGCACGGTATTATGTTTGCAGATTCAGCAGCTTGAAAGAAAAAAGACAAAACATAAAAGTCCTAGTGCAACACTGTATAATAAATATAGCAAATGAGGTGTGCAGCTAATAAATTCAAACTCGCAAAAGTGGAGTGGATATAGTACCACTCACACCTATGGAGCTTAGAGAGGATCAATTGAGTACAAAGGATCCAATACACTTTGGTACAGCAACTCACCACCCTTTCTTCCAAAACTTTATTTCATGTCATTCCAAAACATTTAAAACCGCAAATACTTGTACTTGTCCAGGATGTGTGCAACTCCTTTTGCTATTATCCCAATATTAATTGACAAAGGATTATATATTTTCTAGTTTGTTTTACAGTATATTTTGCACAGACTTTTTTTTAATCCTTTTTTATTACCTTGTCTAATCTGTGACCAACTTTTTGAATAGTTGTTGCACTTGATGATGGATATATTTATTTATTTTTTGTGACATCTATAGTATGTAAGTTTGTATGCACCTTACAAAGTAATAGTTGCACTTGAACGGCACTGCACCACTTTACTTTTATCTTTTTTTTTTTTAAGTCTTGTTCAGTCACCCTGAACAATCTTTAAAAAATGTACCAAGAAGAATGGGCCAAAATCTAGTGCATACTGTTATTCCAGTTAGAGGTAGCTTCTCAATAATTCATGTGTGTGGGTTGAATACTTATACAAGCAAAAATATTTCATTTTCTTACACTTCATAAGTAACAATCCAACATAAAACGAGTCATCTAGAAATTGCTGATTTAAAGATTTAGTATTAATATAAAATATGCAGAGTAAAATGTCAATGTGTCATCTTAAAACTGTTTAGAATATGAGGTCTAGAAATCGAAATTAGTTAATATAGCAAAGAAGATAAAGGCAAGTGTACAGTAAGCCTCCTTGTATAGTCAGCAGCTGGTAACATTAACCGGCTGGGTATCCCTCTGGCTGGAGAGTAGATACAAGGCAGTACCGAAGGAGCATGAGGAGAGCATTCAGGGCCTAATGGAGGATCCCATCTGTTTGAATTAGTTCTGGGTCAATACTTGTAGTTGTATCCGGAGATCAGCAAGATTGAATCTGACATCTGTGCAGGACACTTGTTTTACATCAGTAAGTGCAGTTTCTAAATTTAGAATGTGAGAAGGTATTGAATGAGGTACCCTAGGGCAGAAAGTGGGTGAGCGTTTTTGTAATGCGCTGAAAAAGATGAGAGAGCTTTGGAATTAAGGGAGTAATGTAAAGATGAAGAAAGTGGCTACAGAACATTTAACTCTCTGGTGTCCATCACACCAAATATTCAGCTTAATTCTGCTATAAACAACATTTTCAAAAACTATGAGGACAATGCATTTTGCAGATTCGGGAATCTCTGACAAGATTAAAGGGACAACTATATGCACACCAGTCCACTTTATCTCATTAAAGTGGTCATGGTGCAATATTCCTGTCTGTTTACCCTGCAAAGTAAAGCATTGCAGTTTCTGAGAAACTGTAATGATTACATTGCATTGTTAACTCCACCTCTAGTGGCTGTCTACCACTAGAGGCGCTTCCAGGTCCCTAATGGAGTTTTACTCTGTGAAACAACGTTGGACGTCTTCGCGCTTTGCATGAGGATGTCTAACGTCTTCAAATTCCCTATAGGAAAACACTGATTCAATGCTTTTCTATGGGGCAGCTTTAATGTGAGCATCATGCATGCGTATTAGGTTCCACCACCACCGTGACATTGCAGGAGGAGGAGACCTACCTAGCATGAGGGAGCCTTGATGCTAGAAAGAGGTAAATTAAAAAAGAGTTTTTAACCCTTTTTTACCAAAGGGGAGGACAGATGTTAGGAACAAGGACACTATATCGCTAGGAATACAGGTGTGTATTCCTAACATAGTTTTTATTTAAAGGGACACTATAGTCACCTGAACAACTTTAGCTTAATGAAGCAGTTTTGGTGTATAGAACATGCCCCTGCAGCCTCACTGCTCAACCCTCTGCCATTTAGGAGTTAAGTCCCTTTGTTTATGAACCCTAGTCACACCTCCCTGCATGTGACTTGCACAGCCTTCCATAAACACTTCCTGTAAAGAGAGCCCTATTTAGGCTTTCTTTATTGCAAGTTCTGTTTAATTAAGATTTTCTTATCCCCTGCTATGTTAAAAGCTTGCTAGACCGTGCAGGAGCCTCCTGTATGTGATTAAAGTTCAATTTAGAGATTGAAATACAATTATTTAAGGTAAATTACATCTGTTTGAAAGTGAAACCAGTTTTTTTTTTCATGCTGACTCTGTCAATCATAGCCAGGGGAGGTGTGGCTAGGGCTGTATAAACAGAAACAAAGTGATTTAACTCCTAAATGGCAGAGAATTGAGCAGTGAAATTGCAGGGGATTGATCTATACACTAAAACTGCTTTATTTAGCTAAAGTAATTTAGGTGACTATAGTGTTCCTTTAAAGGACCGCTTAAGGCACACAGACCATTTAATCTTAATCCACTGGTGTCCACATTCTAACCCAGAAATGTTAAACATTGCTGTTTAATAGATACGGCAGTTTTTACATTGCAGGTTTAAATGTGCCTCTAGTGACTGTCTTCTGCTGTGGAACCAAGTCAAACTCTAATCTCCTTTTCATGCATGCTGCGCATGTACTTTTTGTTCCCGGTGCTCCTCTATGAAAAGCATTGGATTGGACAAAAGAGATAAGTCACCGTGACGTTGCAGGAAGCTGGTTAAGCGGCTGCAGGGACTGGATCGTGGCACTGAAGTTAAACCCCTATTTATCTATGTTTTATTTAGATTTGATGAGGGGAGGGACATTAAGCTGCATACAGAGGAAAACACTACAGCATTAGAAAAACATATTTGTATTCTTAATGCTATAATGTT